CACACACACACACACACACACACACACACACACACACACACGGAGTACCACCAAGAAAGAAAAACAGGAGGAGGAATATCAGCTATTGGGAAAGATATTATGATTCTGGATTTTCCTGAAAGCAGCTCCCTCACATTTGGGCTCTCTCTTTCAAGTAGCTACATCAAAGGTAAAATCTCCCTATAAGAGGACCTTTGTCACAAGAGTGTTACTCTGGGAGAAGATAGTTTGTTTTTCTGGAGTAAATAATCCTAGAGTGAGTGGGGTGCTAGTGGATCATGCCTGTAATCCCATCCATTCAGGGGGCTGAGATTTGAGAACTACTGTTCAAAGCCAGTCCCGGAAGGAATGTTCATGAGAGTCTGATCTCCAATTAACCAGCAGAAAGATGGAAGTTTAAGTGTGGCTCAAGTGGTAGAGTATAAGCCTTGAAGAAAAAAGCTAGACAGAGCTCAAGCCTTTAGTTCAAGCATTAATACTGGCATGTGCGCACACTCACACAATAATGCTGGAGTAAAGACTAGAGGGATATCATTCTGTAAAGCAGGATGCTATAAAGGAAAAAAAAAAAGGCTAGTTTCTCTCGTAAAAAAGCTCATATTCTGACCTGATCTGTTTCTTTAAAACTTCATAACAAGGACTCAGATGCAGTAAATGATAGTCTCTTTGCTTTGAATAGGATTTTAAGAATGTTACAGGAAGAGGGAACTCTCTAAGTGAACCAATCAGAAGTCTATCTGTGCTCAAGCAGCTATCAGCTGTTTTTGACACCCAGGGGAAGCTGGGCCATTATTCCCTGAAGTCTCAGACTGAAGCCAACCTCTGGACTCCCTAATTATACACTTCTCCATTAACTAGAAGGATAAACAGAAGCGCTGGGGAGTATTTGAAGTTTCTGAATTTAAATTCATTATAAAGCTTAGAAGAGAACTGTTATTAGGCTGATGGGGATTGGGAAGGAAAGAACAAAAAGGGCATCATTCTCCTGAAAAGTTTATGTTGACTGAAGGATTTTTTTCATGGACACATAGGGTTGAAATGCTCTTTAGGTTTTTTTCTTCTTTCTTTTTTCCCTCCCTCCTGTCTCCCTCTCTCTCCTTCTCTCTCTCTCCTTCCTTCTTTCCTTCCTTCCTCCTTCCTTCTTTCCTTCCTTCATTTCTTCCTTCCTTCCTTCTCCTGGGACTTGAACTCAGGGCCTGAATGCTGTACCTGAGATTTTTTACTCAAAGCTAGCTCTCTATCACTTGAGCCACACCTCCACTCCAGGCTTTTTTTTTTTTTGAGATAAGAGTTTTATGGACTTTTCTGCCTGGGCTGCCTTTGAACCATGGTCCTCAGATCTTAACCTCCTGAGTAGCTAGGATTACAGGAGAGCCACCAGTGCATGTCTATTTTCAAGTGAGCTGTGACACAGTATAAAGCTCCATGTTATTTTCCTATGCAATAATATCCATATAAACTTTTCTTATTTATTGAGATTACTATCTGATTTTTCTTATTGAATGAAGGCATATAAGCTGTATGAAGACAATAATTTTTCTTTGTTCCTTTTTTTGTTTCAATGTATTGATAGCCTGACAGTGTGTGTGTGTGTGTGTGTGTGTGTGTGTGCTGGTACTAGGGATTGAACTTTCTTATGGAAGCATAGAACTCCATTCTGTATATATAGGCCACATCTTCTCGATCCATTCATCTACTGGGGGATATCTGGGTTGTTCTATATCTAAACTATGGTAAATAATGCTGCAATCAACATGGTTGTGTTGGTAGCTTTAGTATGTCCTTGTTTATGGTCATTTGGGAAAATGCCCAGGAGTGGGACTACTCTTAATTCATTCCTGAATTTCAAAGTTTCCTTCTTGGGAAATCCCTTCAGTAGTTCTGTTGTACAAATGCACTGATACTCAATGTCCTTAGCCATTGTTTGTCTGAAAATATTTCCCTTTTTAAAAAATGGCACACTTGGGGCTGGGAAGGTGGCTCAGTGGTAGAGCGCTTGCCTTGCATGCAAGAGACCCTGGGTTCGATTCCTCAGCACCACATAAGCAAAAAGAAAAAAGCTGGAAGTGGCGCTGTGGCTCAAGTGGTAGAGCGCTAGCCTTGAGCTGAAGAGCTGAGGGACAAGTGCCCAAGCCCAGAGTTCAGGCCCCATGACTGGACCAAAAAAAAAAAATGGCACACTTAGTTGGGTGCATATGGCTCACACCTGTAATTCTTGCTACTCAGGAGGCTGGGATCTAAGGGTAGGTTTGAAGCTAGCTTAGGGAGGAAAGTCTGTCATATCTTCAATTAACCACCCAAAATCCAGAAGTGGAGCTGTGGCTCATCAGCTTTGAGTGACAAAGCTAAAGGACAGTGCCTAGACCTTAAGTTCAATCCCCAGAGCAGCACCAAAACACACACACACACACACACACACACACACACACACACACACCCTCCAAAAAAACAAAACCAAAAGAAAAAAATAAACAAAACAAAATGTACACTTTAAAAATCTATTTGATATAAGGTGAAGTTGCAAATTATGGTAGTTAGAAATTCTAAAAAGTTATTTTTTTTAGAGAAAGCTTCATTCATTATATAAGTAACATTACATAAGTACCTCATTTGAAGTAGTGTTCAAAGGTCCTGGGCAAAACTTCTCAAAAGAAACATTTGACAAAATATGTCATTGAAGCCCTACTTTGTTAACTGAGCTGTTTGAAGAGTGTGAGTTCTTCAAAAGAAGGACACACACAATTGAGCAGAGCTGGGAACATTGCAACTGTTCATAGTGATATCAGCCAAACTCCAGGTAGGAAAATCAATGTTTTTTATTGTTTTACTTGAATTATTGCTCAATTATTCAATACAATAAAGTTTTTAATTCCAAAAAGAAATTAAAAATAAGTTAACAAGATTAAGGGAAGTTACCACATTATTTGGTCTACATGTCAGAATTCTGTTTAGCAAATCCAGTCTTAACAAATTATCTGAAGTTATGAAGTTAACTTATTATTCATTTTCTGCTGGACAATGATAACTAATGATTCATAAATGACACATTATGTCCTAAAAATACCAGCATTTGGCTGCGCACCAGTGTCTCATACCTGTAATCCTAGCTACTTAGAAGGCTGAGATCCGAGGATAAAGATTCAAAGCCAGCCCAGGAAGACAAATCTGAGACATTTATCTCCAACAAACCAGAAAAAGACACACATGCAGGTGTTGGCTCAAGTGGTAGAGTGCCAGCCTTGAGGAAAAAAGCCAAGTAAGAGCTCTAGGGTCTGAGTTCAAGCCCCAGTATTGGCACACACACAACTTCATTAACTGCTGACTTATGTGTCCCTCTTCTTTTGAATCAAACAGCTCAGTTAACAAAGTAGGGCTTAAATGACATATTGGGTCAAGTGTTTTTTTTGAGAAGATTTGCCCTGGGCCTTTGAACACTACTTGAAATAAGGTACTTATATAATGTTACTTATATATTAAGGCTAGACTTGGTAAGTGATCAAAAGTAACTTTATTACAGTAACATATACTTTATTCTAAAACAATAAAGTGCTTAACAAGAAACAACTATTTATAAAATTGGGTTATTTTTGCCAAGTTATTTGTTAAAAACTCTATTTAGGAATCACCTTGTGAAAACGCCACATATCCATTTCTTAAGTCAAAGGTATAGCCCATTCCAGATTTTTTCCAGAGCAAAATCATGCAAACAACTGTGTATTCTTGGATACAGTTGTCCACCTCAAATAATAAGTAATAAACATACTGGGTAAAGCTATAATGCAAGGGAACAAGGCCACGTAAAGACACTTTTGATTTAAAGGCAAAATAGAATGGCCATCTGGTACAAGCAATTTCTACTTTTACTATGTGAGTTAATAAATTGGTTAACTATGTAAGTTAATAAATGTGATAAGAAATAAGATCATATGCAATGATCTCTCATTTCTTATTAAAAGGCTGACTCAGATTGACTTCTTGAGAATGACATCCCAACAGAACGAGATTTCTGCAATTACAAATGAAGTTTTGGTGAGTTTGCAGATACTGGTGATGGGGTTGCAGAAAATATAGGTGGAGAAACAAAAAAAAAAACCCAAAACCACACACACCCAATGACAATCTATTTGAAGGTCAAACCAGCTTCTTGGTATACCTTGAAGACTTTCACAATGGCATTGATATAGGCTGCCGTTCTTAAATCTAATCCCAGGTTATACTTAGTGGCTGTGTTTATGATTTGCTTGGCAGATTTTTCCATAGTGTGAGCTAAACCAGAATATACAATGTCTTTCTCAGATGCAGCTTTTATTCTGCTTTGGAGCCTTGCTGTGGGTACAACAGGAATAGTTCCAGGATGCTTCCCAAACTTTTTTTCTAAACTTTCTTGAACAGACATGAGCAACTGGTAGTTAGCATCTCTTTCATATTTGAAGGTCAAACGTCCATAGCTGACATGACTTATATTCTTCAGCCACTCAAAATAAGATACTGTCACTCCACCAGCATTCAAATAGAGATCAGGAATAACCAGAATGTTTCTCTTTAGAAAAATTTTATCAGCTTCTGGAGTTGTTGGTCCATTGGCAGCTTCAGCTATGATCTTGGCTTTGACTCTGGATGCAACAGATTTGGTCAACTGCTTTTCCATGGCAGCAGGGATCAAAATATCACAGTCTGCTTCTAAAATGTTTCCCTCATAGAGTTTTGCCTGGGGGAAACCCAGGATTGTTCCATGTTGCGATTTGAACTCTTCCAGGTCCTTTGGATCTATGCCGTCTGAATTCCATATGCTGCCATTATATTCACCAACACCAACACATTTAGCCCCAGAACCATGCAAGTATTTCATAGCGTACCGGCCCACATTACCAAATCCCTGAATAACAAACGTTTTGTCTTTAAGCCCCGGGGTCAGTCCTACAGTATTCATGTAGGGAACTTCATTGAGGAAGTTTTCTATTCCATAGTAAACACCACGACCCGTAGCAGAGATCCGGCCACGAATACCACCCTGACTAATGGGTTTCCCAGTAACGCAGGCGCGGGCATTAATATCAAAATGTCCTATGGTGGTGGCATAGGTGTCAGCGATCCAGGCCATTTCCCGCTCACTTGTGCCCATGTCTGGAGAAGGCACATCAACGCTGGGACCAATGAAGCCTTTTTTGGCTAGTTCCATGGCAAACCTCCTGGTGATCTTTTCCAGCTCATTGTCAGAATAGTTTTTGGGATTGATCTTCACGCCAGCTTTGGCCCCCCCAAAGGGGACATTGACAACAGCACATTTGTAGGTCATCAGGGAGGCCAAGGCCTTGACCTCATGCACGCTCACGTCCTGGCTGTAGCGAATGCCGCCCTTGCAGGGGGTGCAGTGCTGACTGTGCTGGGCTCGGTAGCCCTCGATCACCTCCCAGGACCCGTTGTCGCGCCGGATGGGGAAGGCCAGGCTCAGCACATGGTTGCAGGGCTTGATGATCTTCAGGATGCCGCACACCTGGTGCCGCTTCTCCTCCTCGCTCTCGCGGGTCTTCATCTCCGCCACCAGCCTGTCTTCCAGCATGCTGGCGCCGCGGTCGAAGAAGCCTTCTACCATCTTGAAGAAGTTAGGGTTGTCTTCTGGGTCGGCCTCGGCGGCGCCGCTGGCATGGCGCACGGGGCCTCCTGGCTGCTGGAAGACCGCCACGCTCTGCCCAGCGGTCTTGCTCAGGATGGTGGTGGAAGAGGCAGCCACGGAGGTGAAGGCCACAGGCTGGGCCTGGCCCAGGGACTGCGGCAAGATGGCGCCCAGGCGGCAGTACATGGCGGAAGGGAGCGGAGGGGGGAGGCCCGGCGGGGACGCGCGGGTTTGGAAGTTGGGAAAGAGGAAGCACCAGGAGCCAAGTACCTTTGAACACGGCAGACTGCCGCCCTCTTGGATGTCCCTTCTCCTCACTCCCCGGCCACGAGGCCTGGAGGTGCGGCTGTGGCGCGCTCCCTGCCTAAAATGGCGTCCGGGAGGAGGGAAGAAAGATGGCGCCCGGGAGGTGAAGAGGGGGAGAGGACAGGGGGCCTAACGGCTCCTGGCCACGCTCGCGGGTGTCCGGAGCTTCCCAGCCACTGAGGAACTTGCCCTCCATTTTTGAGGTATACTTCCTTCATTTGGAAGTGCATTTTGAGGGCTGGAATCCCATTGGCGTGTAACTTGCATCATTTCAGAAAATAGCAGTTGATAGTCTTAATGTGATTTGGGATGAAGAAGTGTTGTTGGTGAGAGCTTTGTTCTAGCTCCACATTGGCGTGTGTGTGGGGGGGGGTTGTTGTGGAGTTCTCGTTGAAGGACGTCTTATCCTTAATTTCCATAAGAATAAATATATGTCTGTATGACTTTGTATACCTCAGGGTGTTGTACCCCTAAGGTCAGCTTAGCTTGTGGAGAATATTTGATAAGGATGTTCACCTTTGCCTACCTCCTTTTCTTCATCTATGGAGATCACATGATCTTCATTCTCTTCATGCAGTGTGTGACATTTATTCACATATATTGGGCAGCCTTTGCATTTAAGGGCTAAGTTCCCATTTGGTCATGGTGTGTACTCCTTTTAAAGTGCTGCTGAGTTCAGTTTGCAGTTTGCCAGGGTGTATGCATGCATAGGTCTGTGGGTACTGGAGCCTGAGAGCTATTCCTTAGCTGTTTCATTTGGGTCACTCAACCACTTAAGTCATAGTTCAAGTGATTAATTGAAGAGTCTCATGGACTTTCCTGCTTCAACTGGCTTTGAACCTCAATCCTCAAATCTCAGCCTTATGAGTAGCTAGGATTATAGTATGAGCCACAAGTGCCTTGTTACTGTGTGTGTGTGTTGTTTTGGTGGTTTGAATTCAGGGCTGTACACTTTCTAGGCACAGGCACTGTAATAACCAGCAGGGCCCTGATAATCAGTGTGGTCTGGAGGCCTGGCCTGCTGAAGGGGGCGGGGCATTAAGAGGTGAGCCTCACCTCGCCACCAGAGGGGGCGGGACATGGAGAGGCTGAGGGGCGTGCCATGCTGCTGAAGGGGCGGGGCATGCCACCTAAAGGGAATGGGGCACAGCCTATACATAGGCTGTGTGTTCTGAGTCCTGAGGGCAGTCTGGAGAAGGGAGTCCTGAGAGGAGAGGAGAGTAGGGAAAGACCAGGAGTCCCAAGGGGAGTCCTGAGGAGAGTAGTAGGGAGAGCACAACCAAGAAGTAGAGGGACGGAGAGGGGACACACGGAGTGGAGAGACAGCAGAGGGCAAAGCCTGCTGGAAGCTGGGGCCTCCTCTGGAGGTCATTCGGGGCCTTCCCCAAAGGTCATTCGGGGCCTCTCGAGGGGCCATTCGGGGCCTTCCTCTAGAGAGGCCTGTGGAGAGGTGACTCCGGGAGCAGAGCTGGGCAGGCCTGTGCAGAGTGGAGAGGCCTGCAGAGGAGGAGGAAGGGAAGACAGGGAAAAGCCTTCCCCTTTGGAGGTTTAGAGCTTTGGAGCTTTGAGGTTTGGAAGTTTGCAGATGGACTAATTGGTTTGCAGACCAACTAATAAAGGACAGGGGATTAGGGCTGCCTGTTGGAGGCTTGGAGGTTTGGAGGTCGAGGCTGCTCTGGGTTCTGGGTATCTAACCCAGACCCCTTTTTGGTGTGAACAAACTTTTTTTGGTCACCTTTAACAGTGCCTAGATGGATTGTCTCGCTCTTCAGAGGCCATAAGTGCACTTTACTACTGCAGGCACAGCCTGTCCCAAGCCTGGACTTTGTATGTGGTACATCTATTTTTAAAAAATTACTGAGTTAATTTCCATACTTTTCCTCATCCACCCTCCCACCTCAGCAGCCTATATTTTGTTACCCCGCCACCCCCATAATTTCATTCTTGGCAGGTATAGGGATTTATATATTTCTTTCTTTTTTGGGGGGGGTCGGTCGTGGGGCTTGAACTCTGGGCCAGGGCGCTGTCCCTCAGCTCTTCAGCTCAAGGCTAGCGCTCTACCACTTGAGCCACAGCGCCACTTCCGGCTTTTTTCTTTTTGCTTATGTGGTGATGAGGAATCGAACCCAGGGCCTCGAGCATGCAAGACAAACACTCTACCACTGAGCCACTTTCCCAGCCCAAAGGGATTTATATATTTCTTGTGTGTTACCCAACTTGATATATAATTCATAGTCTTGTTTGACCTGTTACAGCTCTGTAGTATCAGATGGAATGCCTTTTTAATTTTGCCTTGGAATCTTTTATTTATAATTTATATTTATTTATTATAATTTATATTTATTTATTTATATTTATTTATAATTGTCAAAAATTATTTTATAAATTTTTTGGATATAATGTTTCAATATTTGTACACTGATTAAATTAAGCAAATTAGCATAGTGATCACCTCAGATACAAATCATCTTTGTGGTGAGAACATTTAGAATACATTCTTTTAGCTGTTTTGTAATATACATTATGAATAACTCTAAATCACCTTGTTCTGTTATTGCCAGACCTATTCCTTTTTCCTGAGACTTTGTACCCTTTGACCAAAATCTCCCCTTTTCCTTATCCACCCTCCCACCTCAGCAGCCTGGTAACCACCATTTAACTCTGATAAATTTTACTTTTGTTTAGATTCCACATATGAGTGAGAACATAGAGTACTTGTTTTTCTATGCCTGGCTTATTTCTACCTTAATAATGATCTCTAGGTCCATTCATGTTGCAATGACAGAATTTAGTTCGTGTGCGCATACAGGTCCTGGAGCTTGAATTCAGAGCCTAGGAATTGTCCCTGCACTTTCTTGCTTAAGGCTAACACTCTACCACTAGAACCAAAGCTTCATTTCTGGCTTTTTGGTGGTTAATTGAAGGGTCTCATGGACTTTTCTTCCATGGCTGGGTTTGAATGACGATTCTCAGATCTAAGCCTCCTGTGTAGTGAGGATTACAGGCATAAGGCACTGACATCTGACTAAATGGCAGAATTTCTTGCTTCTTCAGGCCAACTAGTATTCATCATGTGTATATAGTCTGTTTCTGAAGTCCATTCACCCCAATGGATAAATGGACTTTAAAAATGGGATATGTACATTTGTTTTTTTCCATATCTTTTTTTGTTTATCCTGCTGGATGTCTATAGAGGTTATTAAGATACTCTTTCCATACTCTTCATATATACTTCTATATACTTGTAATATATAGAATATATAGACATGGTTTTTGTTAGTTCTGGTACAACACACACATACATATATGTGAGTGAGATAAGGTTCTGTGTTTATATATATAAATGTTTATCTTTTAGATTTAGCATGAGGGAAAATTTTTGTGAACCTGGCTTACTTTACATGATGATTTTCAGTTCTATCCATTTTCCTACAAATGACAGATCACATTTTCTCTTCCATTTAACAGTCGTAAGACTTCAGGGCTGTGACCATCACTTGGCTGTTGCGAATGGTGCTACAATGAACACGAATATGTAAGTATCCATATATTGTGTCCTGATTTACCTTTCTTTAGAGAAAAGGCCCAAGAGTAATAGCAGTGGATCATTTGGTAATTGTTTTTAACTTTTTTAGAAATCTCTGTACTGATTTCCATAGTAGTCATACCCATTTACATTTATGTTATGAGGGAAGGAGTTTAAAAAATTTATTGCTATAATGCATACTGTTTATTGTTTTCTTGATTCTGTAAGAATTTTTCTCCTCAGTTTATATTCTATGTTGCATAGCTAGTTAATGTCATATTCCTTTGATTTTTCAGCAAAACTCTCCCTTTCCTATATGTAATATATGTATTTATATTGGTATAAATCCTTGACAAATGTCCTAATAGTCCTTTTATTATTTTTGAGTCATGCTATCTTTTGTTTTATAGCAGCGGTTTCTCAAAGAATAACTTAGACAAAGTCAAAATGACTTTATAATTCAAGTCTTTTCCCATTACCCTGTGCTGTTCTCTAACCCAGTTCCAATCATAGCATTTCACAACCCAGGAAGAACCATTAAGAAGTTTTTTTAAACATCATATTTACTTACTTATGTGTGCCTTTGGTGGATTCTTTGGCAATTGGCATGTACTTCAGTCTCAATTGATTTCCAAGTTCCCAGGTGCAGCTGTAGAACCTAGTATCTCTGTCTATGGGTACTTCCTGGCTCAGTAATGATGTATGCTCACTATCCTTCCTTTTGTAGGCAACTAAACGAAGCTCTATGTGTCATATAGATGTGGAGAATAATAAATTTATTCTCCTCCTGCTAGGTAGTTTACTAAGCAGGCATCACTTGTGATGCTTCTACACTCACATCCCCATAGCAAGGCATTCAACATCAGTAGAGAGAAGAAATCTCTTTGCTATAGCATAGACCATATTCTCTTTATGCAGTGTCTACTTCAGGATCTTTTTTGTTGTTGTTGTTGTTGGTCATGGGGCTTGAACTCTGGGCCTGGGCACTTGTCCCTCAGCGCTTTAGCTCAAGTCAAGCACTGTACCACTTGAGCCACAGCGCCACTTCCGATTTTCTGGTGGCTTATTGGAGATAAAAGTGTTGTAGGTTTTCCTGCCTGGGCTGGCTTTGAACCATGATCCTCAGATCTCAGCCTCCTGTGTAGCTAGGATTACAGGCATGCGCCACCTGTGCCTGGCTTTCAGGATCTTTTTATCCTACATTTGTATTAAAGCGGAAGAAAACTTTTTGCTTCTGAACCAAATTGGGGCTTGAGTAATGACGGGAGTGTTTTTTTTTTTTTTTGGTCATGGGGCTTGAACTCTGGACCTGGGCGCTGTTCTTGAGTGCTTCAGGCTCTTCAGTTCAAGGTGA